AAATTAATAATAAAAATATGTAATAAATATACTCTTAATTTATACTATAGAGACTCATAAAAAATATCAATATAATTTAAAAAAACTCATTAATAATTTTATTATTTTTCAAATGAGTAATATTTTTCTTTCTTTTGATATTTCTTTCACCAATACTACAAGTCATTTATATCTTATTTGCTAATATTATTACGAGCCTCATGTTTTGCAAACACTAACAATTAGATTAAAGAAAGACACAAATTGTAAAATAGTGACAAAGTTATAATATCATGTATAATTAATTATAAATTTATAATTATAAAATAATATTAAATAAATATGATATTTTATTAAAAATGAGTAAAAATATATATATGATATTATAAGTAAAATTTTAAATTAAAAAGTTAATTATATAATAATATGTCATGTTATAAATTTATAATATAATATAGTATTATAATTATAATATTTTTTAAAAATATTTTTTTATTTTTATTAAGAAGAAAGACAAAACCTTATAAATAAAAAATAATAATGAAAAGAATATCATTTTTCGAGAGAAACGTGCATGCCAAGGATGGTGCCGCACCCGCACCCGCACCCGCACCCGCACCCGCACCGGTACAAAACTTCTCTATAAATAGTGATCATTTCTCACTGGAAAGCTTCACTGTTGAAGTTTCTCGTTCTCTGACTCTCTGTACTCAAACTCTAGCTGGGTTCGATCTACTGGTACTTGATTTTTGCTCGATTTGAATTTTGATGATTCATCATCGTAGATAGTGTTCATTCCAAGAGATTTTGCGCTTTCGATCTGCACATTTTCGAAGTTCCACATAAAGATTGAAGAAAATCTGGCAAAAAGAGTGTTAAATCCGACCCTTTTCCGATGAATTTTAGGGTTTTGGAGCTTTAATTTGACGATTTCATCATTTCTGCGTTCAGATTAGTGTTTTTCTTTTGGATTTAAGGTTTCTGGTTATTTCGTTGTTATCTATTGAGAGTTTTTTGCGTTTCATGCGTTCAATCGCTCAATTCGGCTCTAAGAATGAATTTCCCTTTGTTTATGTTGATCACAGATGAAGAATTCTGTTTTCCAAGTATCAAATCTCTGAGATTCTGGAATGGCTGCAAGGCGGATCAACAAGGAGTTGAAGGACTTGCAAAAGGAGTTGCAGAAGGACTCTTCCCTTTCCTGCAGTGCAGGTCTGTTCTAGGGTTACCTCATTTACTCTTCTCTTTATTATTTTGGTCATTCTAGTTAATCTACAATGTCAATGTTTGAAATATCGTTTTGAATCCCATTTTATATGTATCAATTTAGTATATTTTTCTTTTGGGAGAAATTAGAACTCTAACACGGATACTTATAGCAGAGATAATTTAGATTTCCCTCTATGGTTTATTTCCCCTGATTACTTTCCCCACATGGAAGCAAAATATGGGTGTTTTAACTTCAAGTCTGAACCAACCTTTTTCCATGGACATTGCCATAAAAGTACTTTGTTGATCACCTTTCTTTAGTTAGCTAGTTTTTGTTGTCATTCTTAGCCTAGATTTCCTCATGCTAGATGGTGGGAAATGGGAGGGCTTATCATGGTCAGAGTTTATTTGTAAAACTTGTAAGTCACATGCAGGACCTGTTGGGAATGACATTTTCCATTGGCAAGCAACGATTATTGGTCCATCAGATAGCCCTTATGCTGGTGGCGTATTCAATGTGACAATACACTTTCCTCCTGATTATCCTTTCAAACCACCTAAGGTAACTGACTATAAGCATTTTAGTATTTGAAAAGACAGAGCCAGATGGTAGCAGCTGTCATTGTGTTTTTGAATAACTACTGTCGTCTCTAATTTGATATTGTCACATTGCATATTCCTGACGGATATTATTCTGCACAGGTGTCTTTCAAGACAAAAGTTTATCACCCCAACATAAACAGCAATGGCAGTATCTGTCTTGACATTCTAAAAGAGCAGTGGAGTCCTGCCCTTACAATTTCAAAGGTTTGTTCTCTGTTTTTGATTGTGGGTTGGCTTTTTGGCTCCAATATTTTGGTGTGCTGTAATTTATTTTCTATTATAAAGAGATAATTTAGAAGCATGTTTGTTTAGAGGGCTTGATGACAGCCTTTTAACACATTTCTAAATCTGTGGTTGTTCACTCGTTTTGCAGGTTTTATTGTCAATATGCTCGCTGCTGACAGATCCCAACCCTGATGATCCTCTGGTGCCTGATATAGCACAGATATACAAGAATGATAAAGCCAAGTATGAAGCAACTGCTCGAAGCTGGACACAGAAATATGCCATGGAGTAAAAGGAGCTCTTGATTTGCCTGCTTAGTGGTTAGAATGACCTTGTTATCACCTTTCTATTCTCTTGATAAATACAGAGGAAGAGAGATAGAACTCAAGTAGCTTCTTGGACTATACAGTTCATCTTTTTAGTACTAAAGGTAGTTTTTAAAGGGGGTTGCTTTCTGAGTTTCAGGCATTCAAGTGACAAAAAAACTCTGTTCAAATCCTCTGGTGTCTGACTTTTTATTACCCCAGACATCCTTTTCATTTCCTTCATATATTACATCATGATCTTGAATCCTTGCAAGACCTCAGAAAAATTCAAAAACATATGGTAATGCCTGCTGATGCATATAGTATAAAGCATGTCTAGAAGAGAATCTCCCTTGCTGCTTGGAGATGTTAATTCCATTTGTGTGAATGGATTATGCATAAAATGACCTACCTACTTTATCCTACAATTCATGATTTTCATTATTTATGATATTTTATACTGATTTAAGCCTTGTCTGTGAAGTCTTGATGTAACTTTATGAAAAGCATATGGAATAGTCGATGCACTGTCTTTACTTTGCACTGAGGACATGTCACGGACTTGATGCTCTTCACTTTTCTTTTTCCAAGTATTCATAAATGGTGCGCTTGATTTCTGCAGTTGGATTCCTTACTTCGGAATTGACCTCTGCACTGGGAAATATAACGACTCTGAAAGTCTGTCCTTGTAGAGAGAGGGCCAAAAAACACAATAGATGAAAAGTCAGCCTAGCAGTAAGCTGTAACCCCACCTCTGCTTTTTGCCTCATCCTTAAGTTGTCTTCTTAACTACATCATGCAAGAGTACCTGATCTCTTTTGGTAGATGCCCAGTCAATTTTGTCTGGTTGGTGCCCTTTCAATTTTCATCACTTATTATTTTGCTCCCTCATTCACATGGAGAAGGTAGAGGTCCCAATTCCTAACATTACTCAAACTTGTTAAACAAAGGTAACATGTTTAACTTAAAAAACCAGGCAGAATAACAGGTTCAACAAGTAAATTAGTTATGTATTAAGCATTTGTAGATTAAGTCAAGGACGTCTAGGTAAATCACAAAAACATTATGACTCTTGACATGAACTTGGCCAATCAACACCCACTGTGACTCAAAAGTTTCCCCTTAGTAGAAATCAAAATTACACGCTCACATGTTGAGGGGACCATTCTGGCTTTCTCTCCCTCTCCTCTGGCTTCCCTTGTTCGTGCACAGCAGACAGCCAGAGAATCAAACAGCTGTGCTCACACTACGGCCAAAAAGCAATAAACCTAAAGCAAAAGAAGATTGCAAAACAAAGTGTTCCTCTATTGCTAATTTCCACCTTCACTTAACTCAATGCTTGTGATTTTCCTGTAACCCTTTTGCACGTGATTTCTCAAAAAGACAATCTCCACCAAAGGCAACAAAAACAACAAAAAAAAATCTGTATATAACCGTAGCACTACCTCTCCTCCCTTCTCTCATTAACAAACCTTATCATTCAGCCATAAATAAAAGGATGAAGCTCGCCTTGGTTTTCGTTATTGCTATCTTCCTCCTTCAGGTACTTTGTACGTCGCAGTTCAAGAAATATATTTGTAGTCTAATAATTATGGTAGAGGCTCCTTCAACTGAAATTTGTACTTTGATTCTCCCTTTTTATCCCCTTTTCAGGCTGTAGTTCAGGCTTCTGCGCTAAGCAATGCTGAAAATTCTCTTGCCAGTGTATGTCTCTGTACTTCTTTTTCAATTTGTAATTCCTCGCTAACTGCAAAGTTATTCTCTTGACAAAGAAAAGGATGGAAAGGAGAAGAAATTTGGCATAATTCATTAATGCAATTTCTTCTCTTGTAATATGTTCTTGGAAATTTTGTAATTTTTTTTTTTTTACATTAATTTTGGATCCAGAGGGATGTAGAAAGTAATGCCATAGCTATTCATGGAAAGCATCCCAAGAAAATTAGTGAGTTCCTTTTTCCTAGTTGTTAGGCTCTGTTTAGTATCATTAACTTGTTTCTGATTTTCTTTTATGTATAAAAATTATTCATTTTTTTGATAATTTGTGTTTTCAGATTGCAAGTTTGCGTGTGCAAGGAGATGCAGGAAGTCATCGAGAAAGAATGTATGCCATAGGGCGTGCAAGACATGCTGCAACCGCTGCCATTGTGTTCCACCAGGTACCTATGGGCACCACAGTGCATGCCCTTGCTATGCTAGCCTCAAAACCCATGGTAACAAGCTCAAGTGCCCTTGAATTGTCCTATATAAGCCAATTTCACTTTGGCTGGTGCTAGCTGTTGCTTCTAAGTGTGTAATAAGGGAATTGAACCTATCTACATGATTTTAATATTTCCAGTTTTTAATTATGCCATTTTTGCAAGAGAGTGCTTGCAGCCGTGAAAATTCTTATTCATATTTCATGCACTTATCTAATATTTCCTGTTGACTAATCTTGATCCCAAGCTTCTTTTTTATTTTATTTTTAATTTTCAATTGCACAATGAAATATAAATTTTTTTTATCTTTAAAGTCACTTTACTAGTATGTCATGTTATTTAAATTTAAAACCTTATACTTTCGGATGATAGAGATTATTAAGCCTAAGGATTGAATACACTGGTAAACAATTGCTGCATTGTTACCAATGGAGCCAGATCCAAAAGAAATTAATTTCCTTAAATATTTTAAATTAACATGAGAGTACACCCATAAACGAATCCTAATAACGTTAGTGTCAATATGCAAAAAGTTCTAACTACTTTGGCAATTGACATCTTGATTCCAAGTTTGACTTCAATCATTATTAATTTGCTTGGGTGAATCTTGAGTTAGATTGTAATTCTTAGTTCGGAATTTTCATAAAAAAATAAAATACTCTTGTATGATCATAAGATTTCTAAGTTAAAGATCTTAAATGTTTGAAAATTAGACTAAATGTTAAAAAAAGTAATTGCTTGTGTCAAGGGGAAAAAAATATATAATAAATTAAATTAAAAGATATAAATAGATTTTAAATTTGAATTAGTACCATTAATTAAAAAAGTTATAATTTTAAATATTAAAATGGTAATAAAAATAAAAATAATTCATTTATTAATGAGCACCAACAGTTGTTGGTCCACAAATTTAAAACAAATAAAAGGAATTACAAACAATTTGTCGCATTTGAGATTTTTCATACTTTCTATATTACAACCCAACAATTATCATAAAACACACTCAGAGCTGTGCCGACACATTTACACCACAAAATGAAAAGCACAGAATTATTCCCTTTTTCTTTTTTGCCAACTGTCTCTTTCTCTCTTATTCTCTCCCCTTTTATTTTCAACCATAATGGGTAATTATTAATTAATCAAATTAGAATTCAAGGGCACTTGTATCTGTTGCCATGGGTCTTCATCTGGGCGTAGCAAGGGCAGACATCTCTGTTAGCTGTTGGGCCGGGTGGCACACAGCCGTCGTTACACCTTTGGCAGCATGTGTTGCAGGTTTTGAGGCACATCTTCTGCTTCCATGACTTGCTGCACCTCGATGCACACTTCTGTTGGCAATCTACCCAACAACATTCACATACAATTTATAAATGTGCGAATAACCAAATATCTCAATCTCCTAGCTATGTATTCACACCTCAAAGCAAGTGGAAACAAGTCACATAATTGTCATTTTTCCATAAGCCTTTATCTTTTTTTTTTGTTTTTTTGGTAAATTCCATAAGTTTATACCTAACTTATATGAGAGCTGACATGACATACTGATCATGTGAATAGGAAAATTTGTCATTACTTTTTGGTGGACTCCATGTAAAATGGTATTATCCAATACATTTGCTTCCATGTAGACAAAGAAAGCTAACCACGCAAGGACTTAGAAAGAAGATATAGGACTCAAGTGACTTTTTCTATTAACTTTATCCTTAATTGGTCTGAAAAGAAATTGGAGATATAGAATGAGAATACAAATTAACTTGAGGGGTTTTTCTGAATCTTGTTTAATATACCTGCTCTCTCAGCTTCAACCATGAGCATTCCCATCTGAAAATTGTCAAAAATAAAATTAATAGCTAGAAAAATTTTTCACGGGATTATTGCAGCATATATTATTTTTTTAAAAAATGGAAAAAGAATTAATATTTATGGCAAAAACTCTACCTCAGATATAAGGAGAAGGCAAAGGACTGCAAATACGAGTGTTGCCTTGGTGCTGGCCATTTTCAAACCTTTTCTATTTTTCTGATAAAATAGAGAAAGAGAGGATAGGTTTTGGTTCCAAATTTTTTTTTTTTTTACTTTTCCTTTTTATTCTTTTTCCCCTGCTGGGATTTGGTTTCCAAGATCCAAAAGAGACTTATAAAGTCAGGGTCACCTCCTTTTGTGGTGATCCTTTCAATTCTCCTATTCTACAGCAACTAAGCCTAAATTAATGCTTCAGTTTTTGGTAGTTTGAGGCTTTTTTTTTTTCTATAAATAGAAAAATGAGGATAATTTTTTAGTTATGGTTTGCTATTTTTTGTGTAGACTCTAATTGAATTGTGTATGGTTTTTCAACTTTTGTAGAGATTGAGATTATACCCTCATGTTTCAACAGAAGGTTCAAACCTAAAACCTGAATAAACTCTAATCAAGTTGTGACTACTGACTAGATTCACAAAATAATGAAATATAAACAAAAATAAAAGAAAGTAAAAAAAAAAAAAGTAAAGTGCAATCTACCCTACCAGATTATACTTCACTTAACCATTGATAGAGGGGTTAGAGCCCCTGATATTAATGGTCCACTCCTCCATCAACGGACTGTACTACAGCATTCTCTAAAAATAATTCATCAAATCAGAAAACATTGCTGGTCCAAGTGAACTGACTGAATAGACTTTATTCATAAGACATCAAAAACAAAAGGCATCAAATTTGGTAACCTACACCTGCGTACAAAAGGCATACATTGGAGCTCAAAAATCAAGTAATATTAACATGATGATGCTCCATCTGTATCTAAGAATAGTTGAAAAATCAAGACAGCTAGAACCGAACCCAGCATCGGGTACATTTTGCCATACAATCTCCCTTACAATCAATGTTGTAACCTAAAACCTTTGGGTTCCGGAGAAGAAGATTTCTTAGAGTCTTACCTTTTATCCCCCAGTCCTTTTCCAGTATCTGCACATTGTTTCTCACTTCATCTTCAAGACTGCATCCTAGAACTTCAGGAAATTTTTTAAGCAACTTGTGTAGATCATCGTCTGAGAGTGCTAGACTTCTGAGATAATCTAATATTTCATTTACGATTTCAAGCTTCGGTATTTCCTTCTTACGTTCCTCACTCCAGTATGGTGAATGTACATGTCCAAATGCTTTTGCAAGTATCTTGTCTTTCTCCTCTGTGCTGAAATCAAATGCAGACAAAGCTTGCCTGGATGCTTCCCATGTCTTTCTATCTTCATCATCCAATGCTATATTGTCAACTTGTAAAGTTGAATATATTACCCATTTCTTGGGTGAGATTGGGGAAGTCCAAAGCCCTCTCCTCACAGTTTTTGGAAAACAACTACTGAGGTTAACACAAAAAGGAACTACACTTGGTGCAGCTGTTGCAAGATCAGGCTGCCAGAAAGGACGTGAGGAAATAAATTTAATGATTGATTTGGTAAAGTGTATATGTTTTACGTGTCTGTGTCTGTGTGTGAAAGAGGTAATAAATGAGCTCCTCTCATGCCATGGCCTCAATAAATAAATAAATCAGTCCTAATTCCCACCTTTGTTCAATGCAAGTCAGTTTCCAGAAATGAAAAAATCAGTCTTCAAAATGCAGAGAAACAAACAAAATTTGCATCAGAAGAAGAATTCAAGAACACCAGATGACAAAGTTCAGTAGGTTACAGCAATATATTGAGGAAACATCATTGTGCAAGCCTTAGAGAACCTTATTTTTGCCAATTAGGATTAAAAATGTAACTTGAACTTGTTACAATATGTAAATGCACATCTTCTTAGTTGATTTAGAGTAAATAGCAGTCTAATTGCTATTTTACTACTAGAGATTGCATTGCAAAATATCTTGCAGTAGAAACAAAGTTGCAGACAATTCTCACTTGCGTTTACCAGACTAGATACACATCATACTTCCTTTTGTCTTAAAACTTAATGTCAGGAATCTAGAAAGAACTCTAGCTTAAATTCCACTTAACAAAATTTACGTGCAATTGTGCAAAGCATCAAATAATGTCAAAGAGAAAATACAGTATGCCATCAATAGATGTATTCAAGAAGGTCACCTAGTTGACTTGACTCTGATATGAGATTCTAGTTACATTACATATCATTAAACCATAGAAACAGCTTTATACATATCAAACAACCAAAAAAGCTCAAATTTGGGAGGGATTTTTTTTTTTTCCTCATAAGTAAACTTCACAACAAAGATGTAATGTTGCTGCTTTGCTGAGTTTGATTTCAAGTTTCAAAGTGTGGTTTGGCGTACAGGAATGAGATATGAGATGATACTTACAGACAAAATGCAGCATGTTGCAAAGTCAAAGGTCAGCAGAGGAGAAGCAAATGATTTTCCTAGCATCCCTGCAGTATAGGAAAAAGAAACAGCAAGACCTGTTATACTCAGGCTTGGAAAACTGATAGCAGACTGTAACATTTTCCTTTGTTCCTCCCTAAGAAAGCCTCTTCCAACCACAACTCCATTTATTATATAGACTGTGGAAGAATGGAGGCCAATTAAACCTATGCCAATTTTATCCTGGAAATCATACTTTCATAAATGAAGCCAGTTTACTTAACGGGAACAATTACTTGATTACTTCTACAGGTCATTGTTTCATACCCAATATCAAATACCGGAAAATCAGTAAATAGCAAAACAACCATAAATTACAACTACCCATCTCCACAATTCATACCAAAATGTCCATCAACAAAGAAATAACCAACCTTTTGACAATTAATAGGAGCAATTGCATCTAACAAATTTGTCTCAAAGAAACAAACTAACAAACCAAACAATTGAAACCCAGATTAAAAATCACAGCAGAACCAATTCGATCACAAATTCTTGTTTAAAGTTCGTTTCTTTTAATTGCCCAAAAGAAGGGGAAGTGAAGAAAGAAAGTGAAGCCCATACAAAGAAAGAAAACGAAAGTACCTGGACAACAGTGTTTTGCTTGTCCACAAACAGCAGTAAGACTGTAAGAGCCACTGCGGTTAAGATTTTAGTCTGAGGAAGGCTCCAAAAATGCGCGACTCAGTACACGAATATACGAGGACCAGGATTCAAGATCCGGGGAGCCCCTGGCCCGTCCCTTCGTTATATCCAGTGGCTACAGATTTTTTATCTAACGTGTTGGCGTCAAAATTATTTTGGTCTATTAACTATTGAATTATTATCATTTTGATTTAAAAAGTTCAGTTTCTTCTTAATTGATTTATAATCTTCAAAAAAT